CTGTGTGTCTGTGTGTCTGTGTGTCTGTGTGTCTGTGTGTCTGTGTGTCTGTGTGTCTGTGTGTCTGTGTGTCTGTGTGTCTGTGTGTCTGTGTGTCTTTGTGTCTGTGTGTCTGTGTGTCTGTGTGTCTGTGTGTCTGTGTGTCTGTGTGTCTGTGTGTCTGTGTGTCTGTGTGTCTGTGTGTCTGTGTGTCTGTGTGTCAGTGTGTGTCTGTATCCACCATAACTCATAAACCGATACAAAGAATAACACCATATTTTAAACTTAAGCTTTATTCCAGCCTGCGGTGAATTAATTATTCATCAGTATAGTCATTTTTATATTTTATTAAATATATCCGTTATTTACGTTTGTAGAAGAAAATTTATTAAATAAAAGTTACTTATAATATTATTATCTATAATTCTTGGTTTATATAAAATTTTCCTAAAATGATCCGTATTCGAGAAATTTGACAAAATGTAAAAAAATTATATTTTTATAAAAATTATTCCAATGAAAGTTGTTTGTAATATAATTCTCTATAATTTTTATTTTATACATAATTTCTCTAAAATGGACCGTATTCGAGATATTTGAGAAAATGTGTAAATTTCGAATTTTGAAGAAAACTCAAAAAAGAACAAAGGAAAAAACATTAAATTTTAAACTTAAGTTTAATTTTGGCCTGAGGTGAAATGATTAGATTTTTGACAATGGTGGATAATTTGGAGGGGTACTTTATGGGAGGCCGTTTTTTTATTTTATGGAATATATCTGTTATTGATGTTTGGAGAAGAAAATTTTTCAGATAAAAATTACTTACAATATTATTATCTATAATTTTGGTTCTATACAATTATTTTTTAAAGGTCCGTATTCGAGAAATTTTAGAAAATGTAATAAAATTCAAATTTTTAGGAATTGTTTAAATAAAAGTTATTTGTGATATCGATCTCTATAATTTTTGTTTTTTATGATTTTTCTAAAATGGACCGTATTGGAAAAATTGAAGGAAAAGTGCTAAATTTAAATTTTTCAGTATTTTCATTTTCAATGAATATCTATAGAAAAATGTTTCGATTTAGATGTATGTGGAAAATGTATATATTTAGTTTATCCTCTAAACATTTATAGAGGTGCTGCAATAGGTTGTACAAAATAACCGAAAAAAGCCTACAATAACTAGATAGGAAAGTCATGTGTTGGACACATCAGATTTTTAAAGCTTAACACCCTGCAGGTAATTATACATATTGGATTGTTATTACACCGTCAAATAATTTTAAACTTCCTTGATTTGCTCTATGTTGTATATAGGGTGAGTAAAAAAGTGAGGTTTCGATTTTTTAAATGGAATACCCTATATTTATTAATTGGTATTATAACATATAGAGTATTCCATTTAAAAAATTAAGAAAAGTATTTTGTCACACCCTATATACAAGATAATAAATAAATTAAGTTTATTAAAATGGTTTGACGATGTGAAAACAATCAAATATGTATAACTACTTGCTTTAAAAATGTATGTTTGGTCAAACCCTTGATTATGGAACACCCTGTATATTAGGTAATATTTGTTAAACATAGTCATACAAATTTTATAATATTTTTTTTTTCGTATTTCCAATAATAAAACAGATATCCATCAATTACGCACTCATGTGTTATTGTCTAATATTTTGAAATAGTTGGATAGGTATATCTATGAGGAATTTTATGCTAAAATAATGTACAGGGTGCTGCATTTGAAAAAATTGAGTAAATTGAACTTAAAACTAGCCATATTTAAGATATGTTTCAAAACACTCTGTATAAAATAAAGCAGTTCTATCACCACAATTCGTTAGCTTAGTATCTTATAAGTCTGTATATTGAACAATTTTAAAATTAAGGTAAATCTACCTGTTATGATAATTTAAATTGGGGTCTGCATCATTCTCTAATTTCAAAAAAAATTACTTAGCAACACTAATATTGTTTAAAAACATTCTAGGGTTAAATACAGTATTAGTAAACCATTCTAAATATAAAATAAAATACAGGTTGTTATATTTAAAAAACATACACTTTTAGGTGCCAGGCAAAAACGCAACACCCTGTATATCCAACAATATTTTTAAAATATGTACTTTTCAAATCCATATAACTTTTATTTAAAACAGTTTTGCGTGTCTAAAACACAAATTGAAATATTGAACAATTAAACACTAATGGGACACCCTGTATATTTACATTTTTTTCGTAATTGTTGAGTTTTAAAAACAAAAATAATATGCAAAAATAATACATTTACTAAAAAGTTTTTTAAATGAATACAATCATTTCAAATATGGCTGCTGAAATAGGTAATGCTACATTTCATTGGTAGAGTACGATTCAACTAAGATAAAGCCACACACATCATACCTGACAAAGGCCACAATAATTTGCCTCTCTCTCAGGTCCATCCCATTTAAGCGTCAGTGGCGTTTTGGCGATTTTTTTCGTTTTTCTAATATAGAGATACAACTGCTTAATAATTTGGCAATGTTGTACGACTGCCGCATGGTCCAGAATATAATTCGAACAGAATCAATCGCGTAAACATGGATCCCTTATTATTGTGAGCCAAACTTCGGCGTTGCCAAGCTTTTATTTACGAACAAAAATACGGGTTCATCGGAAGAAAGTGAAGACAGAAGAGAGTAATATACTCTATTTTTAAACTAGGAGAAGCGAATTAAAAATACGCATTTACACAGGGAAAAGTAGCTAGATTTGTTACCAAAAGCGAGTTTCGAAATATAGTCGTGTTCAAAATTTATGAAATAATTATCTTTATCGGCCTTAGTTGGTGAACGGCCACTGAGCGGTTAAGAAACGAATAAATGTCATAGAAGTAATTTTTTAATTGGTCCCAGACAACAGTCGCAAATTTCACATTATTGTGATCTGAAACGTGTGTCTGAAACGAAATGTCACTGTCAAATTAAAGTCAATATGGTTGTTGATTGATGTCAGAAATACTTTTTTCTTGCTTTTGAAATCGACTTTTTGAGAAAAACTATGATCTTTTTAAAATGGATATTAAATATTTAAGAAAATTGTTAATGGAATATCCAGATGTAGCCAGGTTAGTATAAAATATAAAGATCTGTTTACATTTTTAAGGATATATTTGTTATAGGTATAAAAAGTAAAAGTTAATCAGTGAATGATAAGTGGATCACACAGTAACTGGTATCTCTTCTATGAGTAATGTGGATATTATGGCTTATTTAGTGTTAACCCATGGTTAATGCGTTAGAGGGCAAATAAAGGCATTCAAAAGTTTACAGGCCTATGAGTCAGAATTTGTTTTGAAAACTGGAACCAACATTTTCATAACACTACATGTCAACATATATTTTTTAAAGTGAACTATTCATACATACCTATGTATTAATTTTAAGTATTTTTAAAATATTTTTTGTGAAAGTAATGTTAACTCATTGTGCCAAATTAAGATTGTCCCTAAAGTAGTAGATGGTGTTTTAAATGTTATAACAATTTTGTAAATAGTTTTATTCTATTCTAATAAATAAAATTGGCTTGAATATTTAGTTACATTTTAATCATTTTGGTTAGAAATTCATCAATTTTTAGTTCTAAAAAACCAGTAATAAAATTATTTTTTTCTAAAATACTTCGGAATTCATCTCTTCATGGTAATCTCCCATCTTTTTACCTTCAAAAACCAATAATGCATTTTCTACAAAACCTTCAGAATCAGCATGTAAAATAATAAGGTGTCTTCCCTTTCTTGTAAGGCTTTTTAGGAATTGCTACCTTTAATAGTACTCAGTGTAGAAGGATCCATAATTGCAGATTTTCAATACAATTGCTTACTAAATAACTATTATTTACGAAATAAAGTAAAACACTAAGTAATGGATGAGATATCAAATTATAAAATGTCAGAACTGTCAACAATATCAATTATTAGCTGATGTTCATGCTAAAAAGTAATGTGTGAAACTGACTGTAATCTGACCAATCAGAAGGCTACAAAATTGCCAACTTAAATTCAAATCGCTCCTCAGTTTAAAAACAGAGTATAAATAGTTCATTAACGGACGAACTAGGATGTACTCCTCTAGTGTCACTTTTTGCACTAGTTGCATAAATAACTATTATTTTAATTGTAATAAAAATCTTAAATTACAAAATTGTGTTGCTATTTTTATTTACTTCCCACTGAATGTTTTGCAAGTCTAAAGTCGAAAAATATATGTAATGTTATTTTAGTTTAGTTATTTAGGTAATATATAAATGTTTAAATCATTAAAATTTAACTTTTTAATCCAATAAATGTTTTTTGTTGGGAAACTGCTTTAATTCTTATTTAAATAAGAGCCTACGCCACTGGTATATCGATCTGGAGCAACAGAGAAGGAATATTTTAAAGTGAAGCAGACGATGACTAGTTGATGACGCCCGTGGCTTTTTCTAAGTTGAATCGTACTCTAAAGGCGTGGGATCATATTATACAGTAAACATTATTTGGTGTTTAAAAATCTACTGAAAATTAAAAATTATGGATTTATTTCAAAAAAAAAAACAAGTCTGGTCTGAGACAAATTTCGACAAGGGTTTGAATTTTATCTCAAAATTTGTGTTTAATAATAATAATAATAATAATAATAATAATAATAATAATAATAATAATAATAATAATAATAATAATAATAATAATCAGCCAGTTAAATTTTAGCGTTCATATTTCGGTTTCGTCAACTGTATATATTATCACAAAAATCATTTGAATAAAAATGTTTGAATGCGAGATAATCGCAATCTATGAGAACACAAACCCATTTTTTGTACAATTTTTCTTCTACAATTATTGACTATAAGTACTATTTAATTAGATTGATTAGATATAGTTATTATAGTTATAAATTTAAAAAGGTTAGTTAGTTTTTACTGGTTGATTCGTAATAAAAGGATCTAGTGTTAGTGTTAGTGCTAAACTGCCAAGGACAAATGGAAAATTAATGGATGATGGTAACGTAAGTAAAGACGGACTATTAGTTAAATATAATACGTGTAGCAGTACCAGAAAAAACAAGTGCAAAATGGAAAATAACAAAAAAAAATCAAATGAAAAATGCTCTGTAAAACAAATTTGCCAACGTTTTGAATTACTTAATATGAACGAAGGAGGGACTAAAAAAATAGGAGAGACTAATCAAGAAAACAAATTAGCTCAATTAAACACAATTAAAAGAGAAAATACAATAAAACAGACAAAGCAAGCGCAGCTAAAAAAAAGTCAGAGTTCTGTAGGAGCTCTAAAGTTTGCAAAAGAACATACACTTTTAGATGGAGGTCAAAACGTTTTAATAGACCATTCCCGACAAATAGGAGTGTCTAATCAAGAAAACATTAAAAGAGAAAATTCAATAAAACAAACAAAGCAAGCGCAACTAAAAAAAAGTCAGAGTTCTGTAGGAGCTCTAAAGTTTGCAAAAGAACATACATTTTCAGATGGAGATGAAAACGTTTTAATAGACCATTTCCAACAAATAGGAGTGACTAATCAGGAAAACAAAATTAAAAGAGAAAATACAATAAAACAGACAAAGCAAGCGCAGCTAAAAAAATATCAGATTTCTGTAGAAGCTCTAAAGTATGTAAAAGAACATACACTTTTGGATAGAGGTCAAAACGTTTTAATAGACCATTTCCAACAAATAGGAGTGACTAATCAAGAAAACAAATTAGTTCAATTAAACAAAACTAAAAATAAAAAGACAGAAAATGCCAAGCAGGCGCGAGTAAAAAACAATTCGAGTTTTGTAGATGATCAAAAAAATCCAAAAAATAAACTTGTTCAGTTAAAAGACCATACACTTTTACGTAAAGGTAATGTTTTAACAAATAATTCACAACAAATAGGAGAGACTAATAAAGCATTTTATAAAGAAGATAATACATATTTGTCAAAAACTCGATTAAATAAACTGAATAATGATAAAGTTCCATTTTTCCCCGATCTTATAGAAGAAAAAGAAGGTGTAATAATTTATAACGAAGAAGACAATATTGACAAGTAAGCATACGATTTTTTTTATATTTTTGTTGGAAAGATTACGATTACGTATAAAATTAGTAATGTGATGTTTGTTTACTTTAAAACAACAGTTTATTTATTAATAATTTATTTAAACACTTATTTATTTTAAAGCACAACTATTCTAATTTATATATACTTCGAATGTCTTTAAACTGATCACTATTTATATTCACCACTGTCTATCTACTAACTATTTATCTTCACTGTCCATATAATAACTCTGATGGCTCTCCTCAATTTATATACAAATTGGTGGTCTAGAATGCTCCCCCACCAAAATTGCCAGTATGTACCAGAAACGTTATCTCGTTCTAGAAATAGTATCTCGTTGACCCTGGAATGTTTGCGAAAGTGTCTCCCATAGTCGTCCCATAGGTTTGGTCTTAAGGGGTTTAATTATGTATAATAATCGGACAAGTTGAGCCTCAAAGGCCAAATAATACAGAGAGGGACTTGGAGTATTAGAGCATGACTGAATAATGATATGGCTCACATTACATTGCCCCCTTCTTAAGAGATAGTTCCTCCTGGAACTCTTACGAAACTAAACTGGAATGGTTGTATTTGCAACTGAATCCTATTTTACAATTTCCTGTTGCATAGAAGTAACAAGGGACTATCTTCGCTGTAACCTGGGCACTGGGCGAATGGCTGCAGACCAGTATCTGAACTCCGGTATCTTGAAAGATTACTTCCACCATGTTCCTAATGATCCTCCAATCCAGCTGATTTCCTTCTATCTTCGGCATGGCTAGTTTCTGTACATTGGACTCCCGTACGTGCTCCTTTAGACTTCGTAATGCTTCCCATATATCCTGATAGGTGGATCGATCTCGGAAGGTGTTCTTCGTTATTAAATAGAAAAGATAACGTGACCCGTCTTGAAGTTTCAAGGCTTTTCCAGGGGCTGGTAACTGACATTGAAGTTCTACCAGTCGACCAAACTTCTTATGGAACACATATGCCAGTCCTGGCGCGTCGTTGATGGTGGCGGAAGTACTATGAACCAACGAGTAGTCTTTCGGAAGCGAGAGCAGATCTTGTTGTTACTCGGTCGTAACACCATATTTGGCTTTTCCAGTACCTCCATACGCACACATAAATTCTTCAAAGACAAGGTCAGGTGTTTCTCGAAGTTGGTTTACTTCTTCTTCATGGTCACCCTCAAATGGAGCCAGCCGGTTTTGGTGAACTACCTTCGGTTTACCGTTTGGGATCTTGCTTATACGGTAAATTACATCATTTATTTTATTCTTGATGAGGTACGGACCTTCCCAAGACCTTTGAAGCTTCGGAGAATAACCATTTTGCCTTTTTAGGTTATGGAGCCATACTTTGTCGCCTTCCTTGAAACATCCCTCCGTAGCTTGAGTATCGTACCGTTTCTTCATCCTGTCACTGGCGATTTGGAGATGCGAGAGAACTAATTCATGCATGTCGTCCATTCTTCTTCGTAACTGGATCACATAATCTTCACCAGCTACATCTTCTCCAGGTCGGCATCCAAACTCGAGGTCGCATGGTAGTCTCATCTCACGCCCAAACAAGACCTTTGCTGGTGTTTGGCCTGTTGATTTATTGACAGCGGATCTATAAGCCATTGCAAAGAGCGAAAGATACTGATCCCAATCTCGCTGATGGTTTGAAACCACTTTTGACAAATATTTTCCAATGGTCTTATTCATTCGCTCTACCATTCGATCAGATTGTGGGTGCAATGCTGTGGTTCGGGTTTTCTTCATGCCTAGTTTGTCACAGATTCCACGGAAGAGTTGGCTTTCAAAATTTCTGCCTTGGTCACTGTGGATCTCCAAGGTTACTCTAAATCGACAGATAAACTCTTTTATCAATACATCTGCAACAGTTGCGGCCTCTTGATTTGGAATGGCATAGACTTCCACCCACTTTGTAAAATAATCCATAACCACCAAAATGTATTTATTACCATCCTCGGTCGCGGGGAATAGTCCAGCAATATCTAAGGCGATCCTCTCAAATGGGCTACCAACGTTGTATTGCTTCATGGGTGCCTTCCTTTTTCGTTGAGGTCCATTACTCATAGCACAGGTGGTACATTTCTTACAACAGTCCTTTACATCATCGGAACTATTCATCCAGTAAAACCTTTCCCGAACTCTTTAAAGGGTTTTCCTAATATCGAGATGTCCTCCTGATGGACTGTCTTGTAATTGACGAAGTACTTCAGCTACTCTACTTCTTGGAATGACCAACTGTCTTCTGTTCTCAGAACCATCATCATTTTCAAGCACTCTCTTTAATAAGCCATCTTCCAGGATAAAGGAGTCCCACTGAGCCCAATATGATTTGACTACTGGAGAGAATTTCGATACTTCTTGCTAAGTAGGTCGACGATTTTTCTCTTTCCATTCTTTTATCTTCTTTAAAACGAGATCGTTCTCTTGTTCTTCCCTAAGTTTGACAGGGGTCCACTCATCGCTGACAACCGACGTTCTTCGTACTGTAACTTCTTTAAGAGATGTGGCCAACCCCTTTCCAATCAGAGTTCCTTGACCAACACATTTATTGCGCTTCGAAGGTTCCGCCATGACAAGCGTTACCTTCTCTACAGTTCCTTGCAACCGCCTTACTCGTATGGTTTCACTACTTTCAGGTAACACCGTTCCTTCCTGTACAGCCACCGGCACAGTTTTTCGATTCGTAGTGTTCTTTGGACGTTTGCGCGAACTGCTTACTTTTCCCATTTCACCGCAATTCCAACACCTAATAGTCTTCGGTTGCTTCTCAATAAGGTTTTTTATCATGTGAAACAATTGGTCCAATTTACTTCCCTGTTCTTCTTGTACAGTCCTTACTTCACTATATCCACCAGAAGCCAGCGTAGCCGCTTCATATTCAAGAGCAGCGGACAAGACATCGACCAATGTTTTGTAACGAGCTAAACGAAGTGTCCTTTGCATTTCATAGTCACGAAGTCCATCTACAAATGCTTGAACAGCCAAACATTCAATCATGTATTCCGGAGCTGATGGATAGGCAAATCGCACCATCTTCGCAATTTCTAATTCGAATTCTTGAAGGCTCTCGTCATGTTTCTGTTTGCGATTCTTCAACTGTAATCTGTATACTTGCTCCAAGTGTTCGTGACCATATCGCAAATTTAGTCTCTTTTTGAGCTGTTCAAAATCATCCATCTCTTCCACGGGTATAGTCTGAAGGACATCCAAAGCGTCTCCTCGAAGGGCGATGGTCAAATTTATAGCTTTCTCTCGTTCAGACCACTCGTTTGCTCTGGCAGCTGTTTCGAACTGCTTAAGGCTGTGTGGCGACGGCATAAGAATAACGCCACTCGGATCCAGCACCGAGTCAGTAAAAGTCTGGCAAGTGGTGGAGGGCGTACGGTTCACGCTGCTTGAATATGGCTGTTCGGATCCGGCACCGAGGCGGTAGAAATCCTACAAGTGGCGGAGGGCGTGTGGGTACGCTACTAGAATTTGCCCACCCGGAGCCAGCAGCGGGTCGGTATAAACCCGACAACTGGTGTGCCGGTCCTTTGTGTGTCCTTCTCGCATTGGGCGACACCTTCTATGAAGTATTCCCATACCGAGTGCGCGGGATAACCGGCTCTGCTCGTAGTCGGAAAATAAGAAGGTAGTCTGTGGTTGAGCTATCATGGACGGCCATGCCAGTTTTGGCCTAAGTCCTCGAACCTCCCCGGTTCCTGGGTTAGACTGGTACACCCATAGTCGTATTAAGGAGTGGTCTATGGGCGAGGGCCTCGGCCGCAAGGTCGTGGTCGGCAAACTCCTAGTGTGGCGCTGGTAGTCGTTCGAGGCTTCGGAGCCAACGATTAGTAGGTGCAGGAACGTAGTATCCGAGGTACGAGTAACCAAAGCTGTTGAAGTAGCTCGTAGCAGATGGAGGTGAATGTACTGTTTGAGGGGACCGAAATTCCGAATCCGAAAACTGTTGGATTTTAAAACTAGTTGGCCGAGACTAACTGGTGCCCACGAGCCGCAACCATTCCAGGTGTCTTCGGACGACAATGGTACTACGGGGAGTTGGGAGCCCCAGTGCTCGGCTGCACTGCCCTTCTCACCGGGAACGGACTCGTAGTGGCAGGGTTTTGTCCTAGCTGGACAGCACATCGCTCGTTTGGTAGCTCTCCTCCCAAGGAGAAGCCACTCGGCGGGTCTCTGGCCTAGCAACCCAGAGGAGGGATTTTGTTGAACTAATTCATCGGCATGTACCCTTGATTGGTAACGGGGTTAGTACCGGGCGGGAAGACCCCTAAATCCAGGCCACTTTCGTTTCTTCGCGAGCATAATTGCGTGCAAGCGACACGATTGTGGTTCCGGTCCATCAGCGGCAATCTGGTGTAACGAGAGTTGATAGTAAGCTCTAAGAAAGGGGGCCATTGTGCGCTTTCACTATACCGGGCGACCGTATCCCACCTAGGGAGTGGCGGCCTGTGCAGGTTGAAATACCTGTATGGTGTAAGAGCTGTAACCTGGGAACCAGGCGGTGTGAACGACGTATGTTGTCCCCGATCTCTGAGTACGTCCGCCCTTTCCCATCGGGGAAAGTCAGTAGCCGCCCGAGGTGTCGGTAGAAGATGTTTCGGAAAGGCGTTGGACACTAGAACCGAGACGAGCTAGTAGGCTACCCAAACTTGAATTACCCCCTGGGACTGAAAGCCGTCGTTTGAGGTGTCGGACCCAATGACCAGAATGGAACTGAACTACTAGTATCCGAGGCTAACTCGTCGGCTGGGGGGGCTTAATCAGCCCCCCCAGACCCCCCCGATGCGGTCGTAACTATGACTCGTCTTAAGGTAGTTCGTCCAAGACTACTTTCCGTCGAAAGTTGGGGCCTTAACACGATGAGAGTTTACAGCTCCTTCCAATTTCAACTTCGACTCCACCTCATGGCATTTAATTTTAATGTCCTTGGCCGGGTCTGAATGTTCCAGTTCTTCTATCTTCTTTTCCATTTCTTTTATTTTCTCCTCGATGGAAGACATTATTTTCTCCTCAACGGAAGAAATCTTATCCTCCATAGAAGACATTTCGTTTTTCATGAAAGTCGTATCAGAAGAGATTTCATCTTTTAAAGAAGACATTTTGGAAGACACTTTTTCTTCTAAGGAAGAAATATTGGACGAAAATTTATTTTCCATAGAAGACATTTTGGCTTCCATCATCTAAGTCATAGTTTTTCACCTCAAGCTTGCCTTGGTGGATTCTCTGCGTCTTGCATTTATCTAGACCGAAGCTCATTTTAATATCGTTGGAAAACTTTTCTATTATTTTGAGCAAGCATTCTAATTGTTGATCTGTGCCTGCATACAGTTTAATATCATCCATAAATAATAGGTGCGTGATACTATATTTGTTGTTTTGTTCACTTTTGATTCGAAAACCTTTGCTTGTATTAAGGATAGTACTAAGGGGGTTTATAGCTAAACAAAACCAAAGTGGACTTAGTGCATCCCCTTGAAATATTCCTCTCTTAGTTGGTATTTTTTTTTGCTGACAACCTTATTGACCGTTAAGCGAGTTGTCCATCTTTTCATAGTTGCCTGTAAAAAATTTACGATTTTTGGGTCAACTTTGTAGATTTTAAGTATTTCTTGCAGCCAACTATGTGGCACCGAGCCAAACGCTTTTTGATAGTCGATATAAGCAGAGTATACATTCCTTTTTTGATATAGGCTTGCCTCATTATTACAGAGTCTATTAACAATTGTTCTTTACAACCTAATGTGTTTCTTTTGCATCCTTTTTGCTCACTGCTCAGGATATCATTACGATCGATGTAATTATTTAATTTATTAGCGATTCATGCTGTGAGTATTTTGTAGAAATTTGGAAGGCATGTTATTGATCTAAATTTTGACGGATGTGTTGCATTTTCAGTTTTTGGCAGCATGTATGTAACGCCTTCTGTTAAAGTGTTTGGCATTTTTTCGGGGTGTTCTAGAAAATAATTAATGAACCAGGCTATTCTTTCATGGGTTCCTGTTATTTTTTGTAAAAGAAATTGTGTATTTTATCAATACCTGGTGCTTTCCAATTTTTAGTGTTTTGGATAACTACCTTTACATCATTCACACTGATTTCGCTTTGTTCCATTAGCTCCATATTTCTGAATTTTCGATTTTCTTCATCTATCCAGCTTGCATTTTGTGTGTGATTTTCTCCTGTTGACCAGATATTTTTCCAGAATTCAGTCATTTCTTCCATATTTATTATTATTGTTTTTTTTTTTTTTTTTTTTTTTTTTTTTTTTTTTTTTTTTATTTGGTGTCATCGGCGTCGACTACTACGGCCATTAGCCTCGTGTTCTGTGTAGGCTTTGTTACTGTTTCCCAGCGCCACTTTAGGAACGGCACTGTTAATTAGAACCCAACAGTGAATGGTCGAGTGGGGAATCCTACCAAGGCATCAGAATTAATTTTAAATAATGAAATCAAATGAAAAAATCCCGGCCAACGGTGGGATTCGATCCTGAGACCTTCCGATCTCAAAGTCATGACTCTAACCACTGAGCCAACCCACCCCCTTATTATTATTGTTATTATTATTATTATTATTATTATTATTAATATTATTATTATTATTAAATTATTATTATATGTATGTTTATAATTTTTGCGTTATTTTAAAAAGTTATTTTTTTAAGTAGTTGTATACTGAATTACTTTTTTAGGTTCAGTAATGAATTTGGTGAAAATACAGATTATGTGAAAAATGGATGTGAAGCAATAAACAGATTTATATTTCACGTTGGAGGCAATAAATTGAAGTTTTTGCAAGGTCTAAGCAATGAAAAAATACCAAATGAAAAAGTTCAAGAATTACCATCTACAAGTAATAAGAAAGTCTTTTGCGATTATAAAAATGAAAAAAATCCTTCGTTACCTACCTATATACATACTTCTGTTCCTAATGTATCGACCATATCATATTTACCAAATTCTAAAGGAAATTTAGTTATTATCGATGATTATGATGATGATAGCGATGATGACGATGATGATGATGGCGTTGGAAATAATGATGATGATGATGATAATTACGATGATGTTGACGATGATGATGATAGCGATGATGATAATGATGATGGCGATGATGACGATAATTACGATGATGTTGATGATGACGATGATGTTAATGTTGATGTAGATGATGACGATTATGATGATGATGATGATAATGATGGTATCGATGAAGATGGTACTGTAGTTACTAGATCCACAGGTGGGAGGAAAATTCACTTTAACCTTAAAAGAGAAATACTTTCTGATAATCTTAGAAGAGAAATAGTTTCTGATAATAATGGTATAATTAGAATTAAAAGGGTTGTTGATACTGGCAATACAGCTACTATACCTGAAGATATTGTACCATCTTTTAGTCAAAGTAAATATCAACGTCCAACTACTCGGTAAGATATAACTAATTTTTCATAATAAAAATGAGGGTAACCAAATGCATAAGATTGCAAACTAGGAAAATATAGGAAAATATTGTGAAAAACACAAGAAACACGCTTTCTTCGGGATCAGAAGGTAAATCTAAGATTTTATCATCAGAGCAGGCACTCGCGCTGTATTTAGATTTAAATTTAATAGAACGAAAATAAAACCTTTTACGTTCTGTTGTAAATTACTTACACCCAAACTGTTTTCCTCGAATAGTTATCATTAGGGAGCATAGAAATCAGCTAATACCAAGAATTATCGATGTTACTGAGGGCGGTGCAGAAGTACAGTTCATCAAATTTCTTGAGGCTTTCGACGACAAGACAGAGAAAGCACTACTGACAGGCATCCCGACGGATTTACGCAATGAAAGTACACTCTGCGCATCAAGTATTTCACTATTTCATTCAGACGTAAATGTCAGATGTAAATTTCGCTAAAACATTTCTTTTATTTTCGTTTGTTTTTTGCTCATTACAGTTTAATAGAACCTAAGTATGGAGTTTAATAGCAAATTAAGAGGCCGCGTGATTAACAGTCAATCTCGCGAAATAATAGCCAATGTTATAGAGTTTATGAGAAGAGAAGGAAACTTTAATTCACCTTCAATACCATTTAAAAATGTAAATGATCGTGTTGCTGCAGCCACAGGAGTATCTAAAAACACTGTCGTCCGCATTTCTGGAGAGAAAAAAAGAATCGATAACCGTGAGATATCGGAATTTTCATCACCAAGAAAAACCATTAAAAAACCAAAAACAGTTAATGATATAGATGAAGCTGCACAAGAATCAAATTCTTGACATTAGGCCAGGTCACATGAGTATCTCAAGGTTAGTGACAGGAGACGTGCTAGACATGAGATCAGACCACATAACCAAGAGGTACTCTTTTAATACTCCCTTTGAGGTTTTAATACAGGAAAGAGCGGAGATCACCATAAGGGAGCCCAATGCCCAACGACAGGAACAAACCTGGTATACAGACGGGTCTAAGACTGCGGAAGGCACTGGGGCAGGAGTATTCTCCAAAAACCCTGATACTAACCATAGCTATGCTATAGGAATACATTTCTCGGTATTTCAGGCCGAGGTATACGCAATTTTGCAATGTGCAAAAACGAACAATGAAAGAGCTGTCGAAAATCAGCATATTCAAATAATGTCAGACAGCCAAGCGGCACTTAAGGCCATATCAAGTCAGAAAGTTACGTCGAGGCTGGTATGGGAATGCATCGAAGAACTAAGAATACTGGCAGACCGAAATAGAGTAAAACTCTTTTGGGTGCCAGGTCACAAAGGGATCGAAGGCAACGAAAACCCTGACGAACTTGCAAAAAGAGGGTCAGAAGAAACACCGGAACCAGACACAAACCCAGGAGTACCAAAAAGTACAGTCCGGGGTTTTATCAATGACTGGATTCGGGAACAACATATCAACTATTGGGGAAGCACCCCAAAACAGGCACATGGAAAAGCCTTCATAGGCAGACCATGTCCCAAAAGAACTGGAGAACTACTCTTAATGAATAGGAACCAGTTGAAAGTGATAACAGGGTTCATGACTGGGCACGCCCCAGTAAAGGGACACTTGAACAAAATTGGCATGTACAATGGGGAACTCATGAGCCGACTATGTCACAAGAAACCAGAAACGGCCAAACATATACTGTGCGAATGCGAAGCTCTAGATCGCAAAAGACAGGCTCTTTTTGGACAACCCCAGGTTGATCCAACAACGTATAGAACCCACTCACCCAAGGATCTGTACAAACTTGTACAAGGTACAAAGGTGATAGAGTGGGTGCTATGAACTAACATGGGGTAAAACACAATAAGCCAATAGGCTTCAGTGTTATTCGGAGACACATAGTCAGACGAGCCCAAGAAAAAAAAAAAAAAAAAAAAAAAAAAGAAAACCATTAAAAATTTGGCAAGTTAGAGGATCTGAAAACAAAAAAATCTAGGAAGATCGTAAAAAATGTATTTAGGCTGAGTTCAAAACCAAGATGGGGTTGGTAGTCGATAAACCAAAACCGGGTTACGGATCCACGAATGACGGTAACACAGCAAGAAGGTTTTTTATTAACGCGCTGATCTTAGTTCCGCAATAATAGTGGCGTCATACTAGCATGAAAATAATAAAAACCTGTAACTTTTTGCGGAGAAGTAGGATTGACATGCGGTTTTCTTTAAAATTTTCTAAAAATTATCAGTAACAAAACGTACATCTAATCTCTGTACGCTCGGATATTTATAATTATTTATTTAACAAAATGGACAATTTTCTGTGGGAGTTGACAAGAATATGGAAAACGTGACTGGCTGTTCAACAAAAAGGTCTGGCAAATTTTCTCGGGCTGATTTTCGAAGGCGCCCATCATCTTGTTGATGTCAAAACTATTGTTTATTGTTAAATTGTTGTAAACTCGCTAATTAACAAATTGATATCTCTGCTCCAAAAATCATTTCAGCCCTCGATTTTTTTCCAGAAACTTTGGGTCCTCGGGGAGCAGCATGCCCACAATATTGTGGCATGCAATTGTTTATTGTTAAATTGTTGTAATCTCTGTTAGAAGTAATGTTTTGTTCATGCACAACTACAGGTTGTGCAACAGTATGTGGGTGCAGAAGAGCCGGATTATATTGCATTGTGGCGTGTACTAATTGTGCCGTAAATGATTGCACAAACTGCAAACCCATGCTTTTACATTTGAAATCTTTATTTCCAAAATAATACAATACAAATATATACAACATAAAATAAAATTCTATACTCAAAACCGGGGGTTTTGTGTCGACGCAGCAGGTTCCTGCCGAGTCTATGGCGATACTTTCACCGATTTTATCTTCTGTTGCTAAAAGGTAAGATTAGGCTAAACATAGCAGCCCTCACTCCTTGCCAGATAGGCATTATTGAGGGATTGTGAATGTTTTGTAGTCAGTAATTGTCATAGTTTAAAGATTTGTCGTGGATTAATTTGGTCTTTGTCCCCTGAAAAAGCTAGGAAAAAACAGGGTTGTCAGCAGTGTACGTTGGTCTTTCGATAGTCTGTTGTTATTGTAACAATTCACAGGACATCTGCCCTATAAAACCCCCCGAAAGGGCCACAGTCGAGGCCGGAGTCGTCCTCGGCCGTGGTCCCATCGATTGGCTCTACCGTTCAGTCGTCCGTCCGACTAGATCTCGCAAGTATCTTCGTCGAGTGAATTGTTGTTTAGTACGTTATGGAAATGTGCAGGGTCCTGTTACTGTCGTCGGTATAAGCTAAGACATTCATGAAGACATCCGTGCTTTCTACGCACGCCGTCTTCACGATGTATGTTAATGATACTATCCCTTAACTCATCAGGGAGGCATCGCGCGTAAAAGCTTTCAGCTGTTGCTGTGATGAATTCATGCATGTATGGCATATTTGTAGTCGTATGCATGTCTCGTATTCTAGTGTAACGATCGCACCCCAGAACTAGCCTCAGACATTTGTTTTGAGCTTTTTGTAGTTTACTGTGGTGAACTGAGGCCATAGAGCAAAAAACCGGACAGCCATATGTTAGTATAGGTCTGAATATTGACTTGTATAGGAGAATTTTGTTATTCAAGGTGACTCTACTGCGCCTGTTCATAAGGGGGTAAAGTGTCCTTATCACACCGCAGCTTTTTATCACCCTGTCGTTCGTATGTTGTCGGAACGTTAATCCCTTATCCAGAAGCACACCTAAGTATTTTATTGGGTTCTTTACTGCGATAGGCTGATTTGCAACTTGAAGGGGCGTGTCTATACCTTCGGACCGCCTTTTTGTTAGCACATTTGTTTCTGTCTTACTAGAATTTATTTTGATTTTATTATTTTCTAGATAAGAGATTAACGGTCCGTTTATATGGCTGTCCAGCTTCCTGGTGGCTGTTTCGGCGAATTTATGACTGGAGAATAAACAAATGTCGTCGGCGTACAACGCCGTTTGTACACCATTATCACCCATGGGTAAATCACAGGTCATAACCGTATACAAATACGGCGAGAGTACTGAGCCCTGTGGTACTCCCGCTTGAGCTAGGAATGGTCCTGTTATTGTGGAGTTGATTTTAATACAAAATTGTCTGTTCGATAAGTATGACTGGATTATTTTCACAATGTGCATGGGAAAGTCATTCACAAGCATTTTATGTATTAACCCACGGATCCATACGGTGTCGAAGGCTTTTTCACAGTCTAGAATAACTAGTACAGTTTGAAGATTATTATTAAATCCTTCTTTCGCGTGATGTGCAATACGCAGGACTTGAGAGATTGTACTGTGTCCCTCCCTGAAACCGTATTGTTCCCGTGGGATAATTTGTAGGCGTTGTTCGGTTTTCTTTAGTCTAAACAAAATTAATGTATCTGTTATTTTCGCGATTGTATTCAGTAAGGAGATGGGGCGGTAACTTTCGACCTTATTGGTCGGTTTTCCCGATTTTAATATTGGGACTATATTTGCCATTTTCAAGCCACTGGGATAGTGTTGCAGCTTGAAAATGGCATTTATGATGTGATAGAGCTGCACGACAGCTTTTTTACTAATATTTTTTAGTAAAATGTTACTGATGTCATCCGGACCCGGGGCTTTTCTATTTTTAAGACCCTTAATTACGTCACACACCTCTTTAGGAGAGGTAAGAAAGGAATGTGGCACTAATCGTGGTTCTGACTGCTGCCGCGCATTTACTACGAGTTCAATGCGCTGTTGTTCAGGGGTGTTTTCCTGCTCGTTAATGAAATTTTTCTGAAAGAATTTGCCGAAGGCGTGGCCTTTGTCTTTGTCGGTGGTAAGTAAGTTCGGTCCTTTTTTCATTGTGGGAAGTTGCAAGTTCGGTTTTTTAAACCTTTTCACAACTTTCCACAATGAATTGTTTGTTTTGAACTCCGATAGGGTATTTTGCCATTTTTTGTTGCGGTGTTCTTTAATCATGTTGTTGATGGTCT